GTCTCCCTCTCCTGGCTCGCAGCATCCCAGGGAGCACATTTGGGAGCACCCAGGAACCTGCCCGGCTTCAAATGTCCTGAAACCTCACAGGAATTGGGAAAGTTGTTTTTTTTCGGGGTTTTATGAGCCCAGAATTTTTCCTCCTCCATCCCCCTTTCAGAACCCGTGATGGACGTGCCTGGAGACTCACTCGCTGTCCTGAGGGTTCAGCCCTCACCTCGTGGGTTTTTTTTCTCTGAGTTTATCCCGCTCTCCAGAAAAATGCAGGAGCTGCTGCTGAACAGGAGCGTTTCTACAGCGGTGTGAGACATTTCTGCAGTGAACTCAAATGTCTCAGGTTTTAATTAACCCACCACTGCTCAGCTGTATTTACTTTCCTAAAAACGCTGCGAGTTCAGCACTTCAGGTTGCTCTTTAGGGGACTCCAAGGTGCAAAGGTCTGGAGCTGCAGCTCACGTGGATCATCCCCAGGCCTGATGGGGATGTCTGGAGACGGTTTTGCCACGAGACAGAGCCCGTGTAGGGGCTCTGGACCTCAGAGAGAAACACAGGCAGTGCCCCAGATCCTGCTCCATCTGTGCCCGTGCCCGGGGCTGAGGAGCAGCTCGGCTCCCTCCTGCCAGCCAGGCTGTGCCAGAGCTCTGCTCCCTGTCCCAGCAGCCCTGAAGGACTTCAGGGCACGGAGTGGGGACAGGACATCACAGCTCTGCCCCAGCCCCGTGTCAGGGGCTGCTGGAAGTGCTGAAGGAGGGTGTGTGAAGACTGGGACTGCTGTTGCCAGCTCACTGTGCCCCGTGTCACATCCCTGAGGGTGGAAGGAGGCAGGGACACGGGCAGGGTGTCACATCCCCGAGGGTGGAAGGAGGCTGGGACACGGGCAGGGAGCTGTTCCCAGCATCCAGAGGCACGGCAGCTCAGGATGGCAGCTGCAGGGATGGATCCCTGTGCTGGGAGAGCAGGGGTGCCCCAGATCTGCCACCTTCACCTGCAGCTTCTGCAGCGTCTCCTCCCGCTCCCCCTCTGCTTCCCAGCGGCCACACTTCTGGCTCTTCAGCATCTGGATCTCCTGGAACATGAGGAGGGAGAGAAACACGTTGGATCCACCCCTCTCCCAGCGGGAGCAGCTCCCACCACACCCCCAGCCCTCTCTCCAAGGATCCCATAATCCCAGGTAGCTCCAAATTCCCATCCCCTGCTGCCTCCCTCGGAGCCCTCGGTCCCTAAATCTGAGTGCCAGCAGAGCTCAGTGCTCTCTGCATCCCTGCTCCCACATCCCAGGGCACATCCCAGGCTCCTGGGGACAGGGATGAGCTGTTGGGTGGAAAATCCCGTGCACACCTTTGCCCCAGCATTTTTCCTCCAGCCTGAGCAGACCCGGGAAGGAGGGACAAATGTGTTCTGAGCGAGGATCAGGGAGCCCAAACCACCTTCCCTCCTCAACCCCAGGGCTCCATCCCCCCCTTTGCTGAAGCAAGGCCAGCAGACAGCCCACGGAGCGTGAATCACAGGGATCCTCCTCGCACCTCCCCTCCTCCTCCTCAGCCTCTGGAGTTAAAACCCGGCTTTAAATCACTCATTCATTTAAATGCAGCGAGAGCTGGAGACAATTACTACACCAGAGGTTAATTGCCACTGCAGAGGGCTGAGAGGGGAAGGGGTAAGAGAGCTCTGAGCCTCCCACTCCGGGCTATGGACACGCTGGGAAGCTCCCAGCGCTTCCCTCTCCCTCAGCTTTGCCTCCCCAGAGAGGGAACCAGCCCGGGGGGCCTCTGACCCCAAACCAGCAGTGACTGACAGACTGACAGACCCCCCCAGCCCCGGGCTTGGGGTGTCACAGCCTCACCTCATCCTTAGCCTTGATGAGCAGCTCCAGCTCCTCCAGGGTCTGGCTCAGCTCCTCCTTGTTGTTGTCGCTGGAGGAGTCGTGAGTCCCCTGCGACTCCAGCTCCGCCACCTGCCAGGCAGGGAAGGCTCCCTCAGGAATGTTGGGGCTCCCCCAGAGCCCACAGCCAGGGTTTGGCTTCCCTGCCAGCCCACCCCGGGGTGACAGCAGGGCAGCAGCTCCCGCCCGGGGCTGTTGGGAAAACCTTCCCCCTGCCCTGCCTGGACTGGGCTTTGTGGCAGAAAAGTTCAGGGGCTCTGTGTCTGCTTTGCCCTGCTGTGCTTCCAGTAAAACACACGAGGGGATGGCTCCATTTTACACCCCTGGGCACAGATTTCCAAGGGCAAGGGAGTCACTGCAGCTCAGCCCCAGCAGGGCCAGGGGGGGTTTGCCCAGGGATGTTCCCCAGCCCCGAAAAGTTCAGCTGGGTGGCTTGGATTGTTCAGGAGGAGGATTCATCTTTTAAAGCTCGTCAGGAAGGGCTGCAGCAGCTCTTGCTGGGGCTCTGCAAACATCCCCTCCAGTGATGGGGACCCTCACACAGCCAGGGCTCGGATCCTGGTGTTCCCAGGAGCAGGGGCAGCAGGACTGGGTCAGCGGTGAGCTCTGGTCCCAAAATGCTCCGATTTAGGGACAATGATCGAGGTGTCTCACTGAGAGGCTGCTGCCCCTCACCCAAAGCTCCCAAAAATCCTCCCTCCTGGTTCCCAGCTGTGGGAACAGCCACAGAACAGCGTGCACAGAGCAGGGAAGAGCCAGCCCAGTCACAAACCCCACACACAGACACCCACACGAGGCCTCTGCTACACCCAGGGCAGGCTCCTGCTGCGGGGGAAGACAAATCTGTTCCGTGCAGCTCTTTTCCTGCCCAGCTCCAGCCCTGGGGATGAGCTCCAGGCCCAGCAGATCCTGGGGGGTGGCTGTTGGCTGCACAGGCTTGGCCACACCAGGGCCATCACGAGCAAAACAGCTGCTAATTGCTGTAAATCCCTGCTGCCTTTCAAAGGAGCCATCTCCAAGAGAAACGGCTCCACGCCTCCTCCTCCTCCTCCTCCAGGGCTCCAGAGCCCTTTCCCAGCTGTCCTAAGAGCCTTTCCCAAGTGCTCTGTGGTTCCTCCCTCCCCTGCCGTGTGACTGTCACCCCTCTCCCTCCTCAGCTGGCCCGTGACCCCTCTGACATCCTGGAGGTCAAAGGATCCCGTTATTCCAAGGGAACAAGGCTCTGTTTGTGCTGCACCACCCGGGTTTCATGATGTTGCAGCTCGGATTGGAGCTAATTATAGCAGCCAGAGCAACCCTCAGCCTTCCTGTCAGCAGCCAGAGCTTGCCCTGATGCCTGGCTTGGTGGGAAGGGGGGGGCACAGCCCTTGGTCTGGCTGGGAGCTGGGAACTACTTCCAGAAAACACGAAGGGAGGCTGAAACTCTGTGACTCTGTGCTCTGGTTTCCTCCCTTCCCCCCCGGGGGCTCAGCACACCCCCTGTGCAGAGCAGGGGAGCTCATCCAGAGCTCATCCAGACCTCCCAAGCCTTGTTCCTCAACGTGTTTTCCTTGCCAGGCTTGTGCAGCATCCTGGATTTCCATCCTGCCCTGACGCCTGGCTGGGTGTGGGAGGAGGGCACAGCCCTTGGTCTGGCTGGGAGCTGGGAACTCCCTCCAGAAAACACCAAGGGAGGCTGAAATTCTGTGACTTTGTGCTCCGGTTTCCTCCCTTCACTCCCAGGGACTCTGTGCAGAGTCCCTGTGCAGAGCAGGGGAGCTCATCCAGAGCTCATCCAGAGCTCATCCAGACCTCCCCAGCCTTATTCCTCGACATGTTTCCCCTGCCAGGCTCTTGCAGCATCCTGGATTTCCATCCCATGTCCAGGGCAGACGGGAGAGTGGGGCCAGGGGCCCTGGGATGGGATGGGATGGGATGGGGTGGGATGGGATGGGA